TAATCAAAACAGCACATTTACTTCACAGGCAATGGTGGATTCGTAGTTAGCAACGTTAGAATAACACCATTAATTTTACGTAAATGTTTCACATGAGTGGGTCGATATGAATACAATGATACATAACACATAATAAGGCCTTAAATTAGTGAAATGAGGAGCATCGCTCAGATCACCTGCACAGTGCTGAAAAAGGGGATTTCTTCGCTCAAGATCAGACCGATTTATTCTGGTACCATTTATATGGACTGCTAATCTGAGATTTCTTCATCAGAAAAGGCATACGCTCTACTAACAACAGAAATTAGGATTTCTTCGCTAAAATCAGGTTAGTTTCTTATCGTACGATTTAAACACATTATAGCACTGAAAACTTTCTACTGCTCGTAGGAAGGCACATTCAAGCTATAGTTTATCTGAGTTTATCAGAAGCTGGTATGCATGTTTAAGACGTTAATAAAAACCCATGAGACAAACACACAAGTCTGATACGGAGTCTGCTTGCAAATAATGTTTAAAACGATCGCCACTGTTCTCCACCATTTATGTAGCAAATTAGCTCAAAAGGGAAATGTATATAAATAATTACAATTGATGATGATTAATTACAATTATTTATATAAATAATTGCCAGTAGTGACTGTAGCAGGATTAAACTGCCATCATCTAATCTGTTCGTCCATCGAACATTCAGTGTAAGTTCATATCAACTCTAAGAAAGGATATTTTCGTGGCCACAGAAAATACTTTCCTACAGTATTAATGCATTAGAGCATGTAGCAAGGATCAACATCGTAAAGGGACATTATTCACGAGCAGGACCAGAAACTCTTGTAATTTGCGCACAAAAGTTTTATTAACTAAACGCCACGTTCTTCCGGGTCCATATTGAGCCCTCATAGCTGTCTTGTTGACTGAGGGGTGTTACGGAGTATTTGTTAAATATAACAAAAGAAATTGTGTGTCTGATTGGTCCAGACGCTACAAGAATGAGTCATCTAATAACAGCCAGTTCAAAGACACACAGGATTACACCATAAATCACAGCAGACATTTGATTTAAAACTTAAACTTGGCCTTTGAACTAGTCTTGGCTCATAAGTCAAATAAAGCATGCTCAAAAATGTCCTTAAAATCAGGCATTGCAATCTATTAGTAATATCATGACCTGTATTAATCCATCAACATGCAAAATTATATAACATACACCCTCAGAAAAAAGGTACAAAGCTGTGACTGGGACAGAACCCTAAGTTACAAAAGCTGTACCTTGTCTACCCTTGAATGTTACATATTATTATCTTAATTGTGCATTTAGTACTTTAAAAGCACATAATAGTACCTAAATTGTACACATTAGTAGCTTTTGAAAGGCCACTGTTTTGTACCTGGAGAAAGGGGAATATAAAACTGCATAAACAATTGAATTTTGATGGGTTTCATGGTATCATGCTGTTCAGTGTAGTCTGGATTTCTACTTTCTTCTACCTTGTGTATTTTTGTTCATGTTTTTTGAGAACAAAGGCATGTCATGCAATCCATCACTGTTGGTATCTGCACGATTTGACTTAAACTTAAGCGAAACTTAAGCGATATGTATGAAACTATCATAGAGTTTGACTGGATGCACGACCTTTGACATCATCAGTAAAAGATATGATAAGCCAACAGATTCTCACTCCCATTTCATAACAAATAGACGCAAAGCCAAAAGCAGACACCGTATCCATCTATCATAATGCTCAAATTACAAACACATTCAAAAACTGAAGAAAAGCAATGGGATTCCCTGCATGTTGAAAAAAGATACTAACGGGTACCTAGTGTGGTAAAAAGTGACACCAAGGGCCAAAGTGACACATAAGTGATGAGTTGGGAGTGAGAATGTGTTAGGATAAGCATTTTGTCCTCCCTTTTAAAAATGCTAACCTCAGCCTCAGTGAGGGAGTCACAGGTGCAGCCGCGGGGGTCTCGTAAGGAGCCGCTAAAAGGGGTGCATGTCGATGGTGCCGAGCGCTCTGCTGGGTACACCGGCTGTTGGGGTGAGTTCTTCAGCAGATGGTTTAAACTGCCATGGGTGCCGTTATTTGGGGCAGGAGGAATATCCAGCAAATCTAAAGAGAAAAAAAAAACAAAACAGAAGAATAAACTGTTCTTAGAAGATTTTTTACCAAAATTAATTACGATACAATGGAAAAAAATCACGTTATTGTCAATTACTGGTACAGGCGGCCAAGAACAGGCGTTTATACAGTAGCAGATGCTAAGCTAGGCTTTAAAGGAACACTCCACTATTTTTGAAAATAGGCTCATGTTCCAACTCCCCTAGAGTTAAACAGTTGAGTTTTACCGTTTTCGAATCCATTCAGCCGATCTCCGGGTCTGGCGGTAGCACTTTTAGCTGTAGCTTAGCATAGACCATTGAATCTGATTAGACCGTTAGCATCTCGCTCAAAAATGACCAAAAAGTTTCTATATTTTTCCTATTTAAAACTGGACTCTTCTGTAGTTACATCGTGTACTAAGACCGACGGAAAATGAAAAGTTGCGATTTTCTAGGCCGATATGGCTAGGAACTATACTCTCATTCCGGCGTAATAATCAAGGAACATTGCTGCCGTACCATGGGTGCAGCAGGCGCAATGATATTACGCAGCGCCTGAAAATAGTCCCCAGCTAGGTAACTTCCAACGTGACCGGCACTAAGTTTGTGTAGTTGGTTATGTTGACGGAAGTTAGCCTATTTTCAGGCACTGCGTAATATCATCCACCCAAAAATGAAAATCATCATTTACTCAGCAAACAGTTATGGTTCCCATTGACGTTCATTGTATGGACAAAAAAAATATATAATGGAATTCAATGGGAACGGAAACTGTTTGGTTATCAACATTCTTTAAATTGTTTTCTTTTGTGTTCAGCAGAAGAAAGAAAGTCATAAACAAATTACATGAGGGTAAGTAAATTATGACAGAAATGTCATTTTTGGTTGAAGGGTCATCAGGGCTGCCTGGCTGTAGTGAGATTTTGATGACATGGGACTGAAAAAGCGTCTCATGCCAAATGTGTGAGAGTAGGTAACCCTGTTAAACATCCTAGTGACAGGTACTATCTGTGGCCCTAAACACCTACTCAGAATGCTTATATATAACTAAAGCAGTGGTTCTCAATTCCAGTCCTCGCGTGTCACCGCTCTGCATATTTAGCATGTCTCTCTTATTTAACACACTTGATTCAGATCATCAGTTTGTTAGAAGAGAGCTCCATGCATGAACTGTGTTTCCAATTGACGGGGTCCCTACACAGTGTTCACTGCTCCCTACTCCCTGAGCACAGGAAATCCATTGAAGTTTGCTTCACTTTGTAACATTCATTCACAGATTTGCACTGCCTGCAGCGTCTTCACACACAGACAAAACTTATTAGAGTGTAAAGTGTGACATAATATACCTCTGTAAATAAATACATGTCTTGCACACTTTAATGCCCTTTGAATGGAACATATATACGCTCCCTTCGAACTGGAATCATGTTGGAATGTCCTGTGATGTCCTCTTCGCAGGGCACTTACGGTCGACTAGAACAAACGTCTGAAGTGATAAGAGATACATACAAAATGTGCAGAGTGGTGGTACGCGAGGACTGGAAATGAGAAACCCTGAACTAGAGTGAAGAGAGAAGCAGAGTGGGTGAGAAAACCAGACGTTATGTAACAATGTTGGGAAGTTCACTAACTATGTAACTTCCCAACAGTGGTAACAGACAATAAGCTGCCAATGATGGCCACTTTGTTTTCGAAGTGGGTCATTAAGTCCTTGGAAGTGATTGTGGATGACGGAGGTGATGACGGAAAACAAGACTCTCATAGTTCTGCACAATTTACCACAAGACTTCTCTTGGATTTAAACCAGTATGAGCTCAAGAACTCGCATTCGTTTGAGAGTATTGACCAGTTGGCATTAGTATGTTGCTAGATTTAGAAACTTTTTATGAGTGATAAAGAATGTGTCAACACAACCATCATAATTTAATCGCTCTATACTCTGTTCCAAATCAAAGGTGAAAAGAAGGAATGAAACAGTTACTTTGTATTTTTGTACTTTGTATTGTATTGAATGTGCACTTGTAGTGTACTTCAAATCTTAAAAGGACATTTAAACAAACTGTACTTGCAGATCATATAATATTAAAGAAATAAAAGGCCACTTAAGTGTTCTTAAAGGGATAGTTCACAAGCGCAAGTAAGTACCATTTTGATTAGCTGTCGTACCTACAATGTTTGTGCACTGTGTAAACAATGAGTGATGTATACGCGCGAGAGATCACTTCCGGTGTTAACGTAAACTACGCCAGAGCGCGTACAGACCTCACGCACCGGATGCCGTGCGCGCTCCCAAAGACAGTTGAACATAGTGGTGTATTAGAGGTAAAATATGATATAAATACTGTTCGGTTTCTCGCACAAACCGATCGTTTCGTGTCTTAGGACATCAATGTGTCGTCACGAGTCGCAGGGTTTAATTTGGATTTGTCTGTGCATGTGCATTTTTGGTTGAACTATCCCTTTAAAGGGAGTACAATTTTATGACTGTTTCTTGAATATCATTTTAAATGTAGTAAGTTAATATATTTTAATGTACTATTTGCAACTTTATCTTTACAAATGTGTAATTTTAAATACATTTACATAGAAGTTTCAATAGAAATGACATTAAAGTATATTTTAGTTTACCATAATTGCTTGTCAGTACATTCAGTACACCTTAACCATATTTCAAAAGTAATTATGAAATAATATATTCTACTTAAGTGGCTCAAAAAAGCAGCTAATTTAATATAATATAAGTATATATTTAATATAAATGTAATACAATTTAATACACATTTTAACTATAAAATATATAAGTGTCTGAAAACATTAAATTCAGTTCTCACTTATTCTTTTAAAATATATTATTTAATAACTACTTTTTTTTGTAAAGTATGCTAAAGTGTTATTTTTCACAAGAGCATTTAGCACACAAGAATGCACACAGTCCCAAGAACTTCAATACTGGTTATCTGAACTGGGATGTTAAACTGGGTTTGGTACTGAACTGGGATGTCAAAAATATGATTAAAGAGACTCCTTTCACACTTTAATGATACCTCTCAGAAAATGAAACTTACCACATAGGAGGTTGTAGACTTCAATGTTCTCAAAGGGTGGCACAGTCATCTTAGAATTGATACCTGGTCCATATCCAATAAAAATGGCCTGCAAACAGTTACATTTAATTCATGAAATCACACTTAAAAACAAACTTTTAGTTTACACTTGGCATTTGCAAATTCAGTTTTTCACATTTTATGTTGCTGCCTTATGTTAAACTGCTTTAAATTACTTTTTTTCCACATCAATCTACACTCCATACGCCATACTGACAAAGCAAAAATGGAACTGTCACAACAAAAAAAAACTCAAATAAGTACATTGCATAAATATTTTGCTGAAGCACCTTTACAGTCTCAAGTCTTTTTTGTTTGATGCGACAAGCTTTGATCATCATCATTTGGCAATTATCTTCCATTCTTCTCCTCACCTCTTCACCTCTCAAGCTCTGTCAGTTTGGATGGGAGAAAATGCACATTTTCAAGTGTCTCCAGAATTATTTGATTGGGTTCAAGCTCAGGCTCTGGCTGGGCATTCACAGAGCTGTCTATAAGCCACTCTTGCTGTGTGCTTAGGTTCATTGTCCTGTTGGAAGGTGAACCTTCTGTCCAGTCTGAGGTTCTGGATGCTCTGGACTGGGTTTTAATTAAGGCTAACTCAATATTTCGGTGCATTGAGCTTATCTTGTGAGGCTGCTACCAGCACACTTTACTTTTGGGGTGGTACTCTTCAGGTGATGAGCAGGTCCTGGTTTCCTTCAAACATGATGCTTGGAATTGAGGTTCATCAGACCAGAGAATTGGGAGCCAAAGGGTTGAAGGTCCAAATTGAAGTTTCAATGCAGCTTCAAAGGACTCTACACGATCCCATCTAACGAAACGATCAATCATTTTCTAAAAAAATACAAAAATTATATACTTTTTAAACACAAATGCTCATCTTGCACTAACTTGACTTCACGCTCTTACAAAAAAAGGTAAAACACTCAAGCTCTGTCAGGTTGGATGGGGGTAGATGCACATTTTCAGGTTTCTCCAGAAATATTTGATTGGGTTCAATCCCAGGCTCTGGCTGGGCCACTCAAGGGCATTCACACGGTTGTCTATAAGCCACTCTTGCTGTGTGCTTGGGTTCATTGTCCTGTTGGAAGGTGAACCTTCTGCCCAGTCTGAGGTTCTGAATGCTCTGGACTGGGTTTTCATTAAGGCTATCTCAATATTTTGGTGCATTGAGCTTATCTTCTACTCTGACGAGTCCCTCAGTCCCTGCCACTGAAAAACAGCGCCACAGCATGAGGTTGCTACCAGCACACTTTACTTTTGGGGTGGTACTCTTCAGGTGATGAGCAGTGCCTGGTTTCCTTCAAACATGATGCTTGGAATTGAGGTTCATCAGACCAGAGACTGTTTCTCAGAGTCGGAGAATCCTTTAGGTGTTTTTTATGCAAAATCCAAGTGTGTTTTCATGTGTCTTCACTGAGGAGAAGATTGAGTCTGGCCACTCCGACATAAAGCCCAGATCGGTGGAGTGTTGCAGTGATATTTGTCCTTCTCTAGATTTCTCCCATCTGCATATATGATCATGGAGCTCAACTAGAGTGACCATCAGCTTCTTGGTCACCAGTCTAGACAAGGCCCTTCTCCATTAATTGAGTCCTGGTTGTTTCAAACTTCTTCCATTAAGGGTAACAGAGACTACATGCTTCTGTGACCCTTCAATGAAGCAGATTTTTTTTCTGAACTCTTCCCCAGATGTGTGGCTTGACGCAAACCTGTTTCTGAGCTCTACAGGCAGTTCTTTTGACCTCAGGGCTTGGTTTTTGCTCTGGTATGCATTATCAGCTGTTAGACCTTTTATTAAGATGTGTATGCCTTTCCAAATCATACCCATTCAATTGAATTTGCCACAGGTTAACTTCACTCGAAGTGTAGTAACATCTACAAGCAATATGAATGCTCCTGAGCTATATTTCAACTGTCCCAGATATAAATTAAGATGAATACTTATGCAATGGAATCATTTAAGTTTTTTATTTGTAATAAATTTGCAAAGATGTTAAAAACCTGTTTTTTGCTTTACCATTATGGTGTATGGAGTGTAGATTGATGTGGGAAAAAAGTAATTTAAAGCAGTTTAGCATAAGGCAGCAACTTAACAAAATGTGAAAAAAATGAAGGGGTATGAATATTTTCGCAAGGCACTGTATTTTAACCATTTGGTTTGCAAAGGTTGTTTCAATTGTTGAAAGCTGTGTTTGATAAGGTGTTATTGTCGAATATCCTGTCTAATATTTAATTAAAAAAGACAAAGCTGGTTCTGAGAAAAGGCTATTTGTTTGCAGATGCCACTTAACATTTTCTTGTCTAATGTGATGAAAATGAGACATTTTGAAGTGTGGCTTTAGTGTCCAAGTACTATTTGGGGCCCCTGAATATGTCAACAAAACACCCACGATAGCTCCAAAAACACAGACCACAGTTAAAAATAACTAAAAGCACTTGTTTTGATTTGGAGTCACAGAGAGACACACATTCCACTCGCCTTCGGCTGAAACACGGAACATTTGAGTAGTAGAAACTAGACTGATCTCATTTCCTTGACACAGAGTAACAAAAATGATCTTCATTCCTCCTAGCAGGAGATTTCACTTCATTAGAATGGCCTAAAGTAAAGCTCTTGCCATAATAACCATCCCTGTGGTAGTGACTAGCTTGAGCAATTTACCTCAACTAGTTAGACCGTTGCCTCATAAGAGTTCCTGTAAGACGTTTTTGTAAAGCCTACCAGATGCATTAGACATTCCTAGACAACCACACAGACCAGGGGCACAGATGGCTGGAAACACACACACACACACACACACACGTCACAGACATAAACAAGACTCTGTCAAAGGTCCAATATGTGGGTTGAGTGCGTGTTTAAAACTGCAATCTGAACACCTTCCAGTTCAAAAAAACTACTAAGTGTGAATCTGGCACAGAGAAGTTATATTCAATGGACGAGAGTTCATTTAAAGGGCATGTCTGATTTTTTTTTTTGTTTTCAACAGTTTTTCTGGAAAGACCCTGCAGATGATAATCCCCTTCATGGGAATTTACTCAGATCCTTTAATAAGAATTTAGCATAATCCTCATCGAAATGCTTGGTCTCCTAAACCTCATTACATTGCGGCACAGAAGCATAGAGCCTCAAGCAGAAACTAAAGATAGAAATGTTTACTGGTGTCTATGACAGATTTAAGAAATATTTTGTCTGGATTTTGGGGATAATGCTTAATTTTGTGATTGAGGGTTTATGTGGATGGTGTGGAAGGGAAGCTGAAAGAGAAGAAAACGCCATGAGAAGCAATGGAGAACTGATGTTTGGCAACATTTTCTTCTTCAAATGAAAAAGTTTTTTACGCAAGAGACCAAATGAGTAATAAATAATTATTTAAATACTATTTTTAAAATATGCTCTTCATCTACAATTATTACTGATATTAAACATTACCGAATTGTATACAGAGGCTTAGCTTCCCTTGTTAAAAAAATAAATGTCATATTAAATGTGCACTTGTGGTGTACTTTAAATCTCAAAGTATATATTTTTAAAAAACATACTTGCAGATAATATTAATAAAATGAAGGTATACTTAGGCAGTGTGTCCACCAAAGCGTTTTAACCAGCTGAAAACGCCTAGCTGTGAACGCTTGAGAGCGCATTTTTTTCCAGTTGAAACGCTTGTTATGATACAGAATAGTAATATGGCAGACTCATTGCAAATGAAATGTTTCTCCAAGCATTATTTTTCATATCAATTTTGGGGTAGTCCGGGAATTCCATCTAGTGAAGACATGAATACTCAGAGACAAGCAATATTAACTTCTCCATTGCTGTTCGGTCGTATTACAAGCAGGGTGTGACGGTTGGTCGGTGTGGAATTAGTCCCGCCCCTCCTCCACTGTGATTGGTTAGCTGTCTAAAAAGTGACAGTGATGAACGCTGCGTTTTACCCAAAGTTGAACATTCTTCAACTTTTGGCACCGAGAAAAAAATGACGAATGCTCAGCGTGAAAATAAACCCTCAGCGCCTCGTTGCGCTCCTGGTGTTTTAAAAACCGCAGTGCTCCCATTGAAATCAATTGAAAAAAATATGCTAGCCTTGGGAAAAAACGCTCTGGTGGACAAGCGGAATTAGAGTACACTTTCGTGATTATGTTTCTTAACACACTTAAGCACACATTCAAAAAGTGCACTTTGTAATAATGCCAAATTAAAAGTATTACTTTAAAGTATATTTTAAATCATTATGTTTTAGGAAGGCATTTGAACTGCACATTGTGAAGCACTGGGTGAAGACAATCTATTTGTAACATCACACCTTGGTAAGAAAATGTCTGCTAAAACATCAATATTGAGACGAGTGTGCTTGCCAACCTGCATGTTCTTGAAGACGTTATCTGAACCATGGAAGCCGCCACTGCAGTATTTAATTTCACTTGGTTTGCTGTAGATCAAAGTGGGAGAAAAATACTGTGAAAATGCCAGCTTGAGTGCCGATTTAAAAAAAAAAAAAAAAATCTTCAAATCCCTTAAATCAAATTCGGTTACTATTTAAAAACAGAAAGGTTTGCAGAGTGATCAAAAACTTCGAGAGGTTAAACTCATTTTATAAACACATTAATACCTTGAGGATATTAAATTTTTTCATTATACACTCAAAAAATATTTTACGATTATTTATTAGATTTACAATTTATACATTTGAATTGCATATAAGATTTTATATATTTCGTCGTTTTTATTGATCTATTTGGATTACACAGTTTTAACAAATTCTAATATATTATCATCTTTTAGAATCAATTTGATTTGATATAATCATATTTTCAATAAATAATGCATTTATTCATATTAGAATCAGCATACATACATTTCTTTTCAGCAAAAAATATGAACATGGTTAAAATATGGCTAGCTATGGAACAAGGAATAGTAGCTAAAATATATGAGATTAAAAGAAATTGGATTTATCGGTGATAAATATATAAACCTGGTTATTGTATATTTAAAAAAATTCAGTTTATTTAATGTATATGTTTGACTGACAAATATGAATCACATTAACATTTAGTTTGTTTATGTTAAAACGGTGTAATCCAAATGGATGGACATTTTATATGAAATTTAAATGAATTTTAAAATTCGATTCTCAAAGCTCAAACTCACAGTGCTGCTTGCCAGCCGGGCTGCATGTAGAGATGTGCGCTCTCTATACGGATGTTACTGGCAAAGTGAAGCCGTTTGGGCAGATGCTCCTTCAGATATGGCCTCATCGGCTGATCCGGTTCTCTGCACTTCAAACACAGAAAGAAAGAGGGACAGAATAAAGATTTCAATATGATTAAGTGGAAGATATGGTCTATAAGTGAGGTGTGGGGATGTTGTGACAGGATCATACCGAAAGATTCTTCACCAATCCTTGATAATCAACTGCCAGATGAATACAGGAAAAGAGAAGAGATGGATCGTTTGACTTACATTTAATGAACAAATTACTTTTTTAATGGGAGTTTCTTCAACTACAGTCACTCTAGGCCCAGTTTATCCAGCCTCTCATGGCATTTACACTACCGTTCAACAGTTTGGGGTCAGAACAATTCTTTAATGATTCTGAAGTAGTCTCTTCTGCTTACCAAGGCTGCATTTATTTCACTAAAAATATTTTAATATATTTTAGTTATTCCTGTGATGGTAAAGCTGAATTTTCAGCATCATTACTCCAGTCTCGAGTGTCTCATGATCCTTCAGAAATCATTCTAATATGCTGCTCATGAAACGTGTTTTATTATTATTTTCAATGTTGAAAACAGTTGTGCTGCTTAATAAGAACAGCATTTGAAGCAGAATTTATTTGCAACAATGTAAAGTTTTTGTTTTTACTATTACTTCTGATCAATTTAATGCATCCTTGCTAAATAAAAGTAAAAAAAAAAAAAAATCTTACTGACCTCAAACCTTTGACAGTGTACATCGATTTTTCTATATTGTTTTTACATCTGTAATATTTCATCTCAAGTTCTTTATGGTACAACTAGTACACTAACTTTTGATAACATTTATACAGATATTGAAATGGATGGATTTTTATTGTGAAATTTTGGGTCTAAGACAAGGGTATAAAAGATTAAATCTAAACATGGCATATGAAAACCAGCAAACATGAACGATGAGTCATTTTAAAAGTTATATGACCTTTATACCACAAATCTGCTAATTTAAAAAAAAAAAAAAAATCAACTGCTGCAACATGAAAGTGTCAATAGTTGAAGAAACACTCAAATACAAAGACACTCAAGCAACAAATCTGTGGTGGGTCAAATCTGTCTGCTTACAGGAGAAGAATTCATCAGGCAAACGTTTGGGCCGGACTCTCGCTGCAGGACCCTGGATGACAGTGATGTCATCGATGTTATCCAGATAATCGGAGACGTACACAGCTTTCTTACATGACGCTTCTTCCATCCCTGCATGTTTAGAGACACAAATCAGGACAGAAACATTCAAAATGAGCCATATACCACAGTGCTTAAGGAATAGTTCACCCAAACAATTCCATCATGATATACTCACCCAAACCAGTATGAATTCTTTCTTTCAAAGTAAATGATGTGAGTACATTTTTGGGTGAACTACTGAATTAAAACATTAAATACAACTTGATGTGTTCACTGTAGTATTTTCCCTGCATATTATAAAATTCAACTTTTTTCCTCTCACTGAAGCGTCAAAGAAAGCATATAATTCACTGACCTTAAGGCTTACAGCCAAACCTCCACATCTTTCATTATATTCTTGAGCGAGTACTAATTAAACATCAGTGATGCAACAGAAGTTCAGCACAAACATACCGGCTCAATATGCATTCACAATCACTGACAATTAAAAACCCAAGAGTCAAAATTAGCATGCTAGCAAGCCTCATGGCGTACTCTAATGGCAGGAGACACACGTGCAATCCCACACGTCTTTAATTTGCCCTAATCACAAATGAAGACACGCGTCAAGCAGATGTTACTGCTGAAGAACTTGTGCCCACCCATTTTAGTATCATTGAGATACTATTATTGTTTTTATTAATACTTTGAATTAGTCTTTATTTTTTTATATTTTTGTTCTCATTTTAATGTTAAAGTTTTTATTAATATTTATAATTTTTATTTTCCTTTTAAATTCTAATGATTTAGTAATTTTGTTGTGTGTATTTGTCTTTTTTTTTATATATATCTAAATAGTTTTTATATTTCAGTTTTAGCTTCAGCTATTTTAGTATACATGAAGCTAAACTAAATGAAAATCAAAATGTTGTTGTCACGGTTCGCTACTGTGAGGAGCATGGAGCGAGGAACGAGGAGACACAGAGTCAAATTCAAACTTATTGACTTTAATAATATCCAGGG